GTTATGAAGTTATCATCAGTTTGTGGTGTGGGGAATTGGTCACTGCAATTTTCTTCACAAATAAGACAAAAACCATTAAAGTCATCAGCTGTAAGAGTTGATGAAGGAGGAGGGGGAGGAGGACAGAGAAGAGAAGAGAAAGTTTTGAAAAGTGTGCGAGACTCAGAGCAGTTGTTAATTATGTTATGGTAGTATGTCGTTTTAGCAGTGGAGACATTTGCAGAGAAGGAAGAGAGGAGTGACTGATACACACTAAGGTCGGTAGAGTATTTTGATTTGCACCATTTCCTCTCTGCAGCCCTAGAGCAATGTTACCGGAGAACATCGGACAGGCAGGGGGCAGAGGGGGTAGTGCGTGCTGGTCTGGATGAAAGCGGGCAAAAGTTGTCTAAGCAAGATGTTAGAGTGGAGCAAAAAGTGTCAGTAGCACTGTTTGTGTCCAGTGCTGAAAACTGAGAGGGTGAAGGAAGTGAGAATGAAACCACAGAGGATAGGCGAGAGGGAGAGAGTGAGCGTAGGTTACGTTGAAAGGTGACCTGCGGAGGAGTGTATGCTGTGTCAGGAGTTAGTGTGAGGTTAGAAGTCTTGAGGAAGTGGTCTGAGGTGTGCAGTGGAGTAACTAAAGTGTTGTCAGTGGAGCAATAGTGTGTATAGATGAGGTTCAGTTGGTTACCTGATTTGTGAGTAGCCATAGTAGACACTCGCTTGAGATCGTCAGAGCAGTTGTTAATTTTGTTGTGGTAGTATGTCGTTTTAGCAGTGGAAACACACTAAGGTCGGTGGAGTTTTTTGATTTGCGCCAATTCCTCTCTGCAGCCCTGAGTTTAGAGCAATGTTCATGGAGAACATCAGACAGTTAATGGGCAGAGGGGGTAGTGGGCAAAAGATGTCTAAGCAAGATGTTACAGTGGAGCAAAGAGTGTCAGTAGCACTATTTGTGTCCAGTGCTGAAAACTGAGAGGGTGAAGGAAGTGAGAATGAAACCACAGAGGATAGGCGAGAGGGAGAGAGTGAGCGTAGGTTACGTTGAAAGGTGACCTGCGGAGGAGTGTATGCTGTGTCAGGAGTTAGTGTGAGGTTAGAAGTCTTGAGGAAGTGGTCTGAGGTGTGCAGTGGAGTAACTAAAGTGTTGTCAGTGGAGCAATAGTGTGTATAGATGAGGTCCAGTTGGTTACCTGATTTGTGAGTAGCCATAGTAGACACTCGCTTGAGATCAAATGAGGCGAGCAGAGTGTTGAAGTCAGCAGCCTGGGGTTTTTCAAGGTGGATGTTGAAGTCACAGAGCAGCACCAGAGGAGTACCATCCTCAGGAAAGTTTGAAAGTAACACATCCAACTCCTCCAAGAAGTTGCACAGTTGACCTGGGGGACGATAAACGACTACAAAGTGGATTTTAACAGGGTGGGTAATAGTAATTGCATGTGATTCAAACAAACTGTTGCCTGTAAGAGATGGTAGAAGATCAAATTTCCATTCATTTGAGATAAGGAGACCAGTAACTCCACCCCTCACAATCGTGCGAGGGGTGTGGGAAAAAGTGAAATAAGTGGAGAGGGCTGCAGGAGTGGCAGTGTCCTCAGGTTTGATCCAAGTCTCAGTTAGAGCCATGAGGTTGAGACCGGAATGAGTAGCAATAGAATAAATAAATTCAGCTTTTTTAACAGCAGACTGGCAGATCCAGAGACCAATTGGAATAGAGAGTAAAGTAGTAGAGGACAGAGGGACAGGCTGTAGATTATTAGGATTGGCCTGCCTCCAACGTACAGTGCGTGATTTACAAGTGTTGGTAGTAATAGAGATTTGAAAGCACATAGTGAGCACAATTGTCCTAAACAAGTAGATGAGAGCAAGCTGTACAAAGAGTAAAGAAAAGTAAAGAAAGGGGAGAAAAGCAATACTTAAGTGCCTTGTCGGTGTCCTTGCTCGGTGGAGTCGCGCAGGTAGAGTCAATTGTCTTCACACTCGTTGGTCTTCACACGAGAGCTGCCGCGACCACAGCCGCGGTGAACTAACCAATTTTATACTTGCCGGAGTACTCGTTATTGAAGTCAGCTGGCCACGCCTTATTATTTAGCAAACCAAAACTGGAAAGTCCCACAATACGCATGAGAACAAATGCGACTTGAGCACTTATTTACCACGGTAAAACACAGTAAGTGAAACAATGTTTCCTAGCAATGACAACCGCGCTAAAATCTAATGAGAAAACAAGACAAAACACTTACAAACTGCTCTCCCTCTTCTGCTGCTCGACTGCTTCAGACTGCTTATTTTCAATAAAGCTGTCCATTAGTGTTGTCACGATACCAAAATTTTGACTTTGATACGATTCCTGACTAAAATATCTCTACTATACTACAACTGAACCGATGCTACGACAAAACAAATAAAACAACAGGAAAAGTAATTGAAAAAGGATAAGAGGGCAAGAGCAAGGACTGTGAAAAATGATCAAAGAATTTGAATAATCAAAATGTAAAAGTAAAGCACTCATAG